CTCGGTGGGACAGAGGCCTCTGGCGCCTCCGGATTACGCAGCAGGTGAAATGCATTCAGCTCTTTAGTTCGCAGCTGCTGTTCTCAGCTGGGTCCCTGGAATCCTCACTGCATGCTCAGCTTGGAGTCGGACAACAACCTGAGGGAAACACGCTTGCAGATTTCTCACTCGCCCCTCTCCATCTTTCTCCCTTCCAGCTCCTCTGGCGGTCTTCACCTCTTGCCTCAGCCCAGGAAAACTGCAGCTTTCTATCACCCACTCCTCCCACCACCACCCCATCCATGATTTGGGAAAACTCCTCTGGGAAAAACTAGGACGACAGTACATTTCGCTTCTCTCAGGGATCACAGCCACGTGGACTTGCGCCCGGTGCTCTCCAGTTCCTTCAAACAGTTGCCCTACGCATCGTGTCCAGCTTTTATAATTATTTTGACAGAAAGATTAATCTGATGCAAGCCATTCCTCTCTGGTCAGAAGCAGAAGTATTACACTACTTTCATTTATTGAGCCCTTCTCACCACTGCCTTAGAGTGGATACCAGAAGTTTCTGTGGGCAGGCAACTGACTCGATCCTAGTTCAGTCTATGGGGAGTGGAATGACCTTGTAAGTTGGCTCCCAGACAAAGCTATCTGAGATGTTTCATTGATGTCAGACTGAAGTTTAGGGGAGAAGTTTAGTTATGTGGCCCTGAGAATATGCAAGGATTCAGGAGCCTATTAGGTGCAAGGTATTTACATTGCTTAGGATTCTTCTCAGAGGACCAGATCTCAGCCAAAAGACCATGGAAAATAAGAGTGAATTTAATGAGCAGCTTGGTGAGGGGGTCATATTTCTGAAGGGAGACCAAAAAACTAGGCAACTGGATAAGACAGTTGCCTACAAGACCACTTCTCTTAGGGTTATGAAGTCGTTGAGTAAGCCATCCTAAATAGCACCTGCATCTCTTGGGGATTCTGACAAGAGTCAAATATGCTTCACCAGTAAACTCAAGGATGCTGAGGAACAGTCACCAAAATTACTTGAAAACATGTTGTAGTGTCCTTAGGTCAGGGTGAGAAGAATCACTGTATGTGTCCGTAGCTCTGGGTTGCATACCCAAAGGAAATTTCTGGTCATGAGTAACCTGGGTTAACTGAGAGGATCAGTGTCTTCTTTAGGGTCTATTCATTGGGCCAAAGCCATGCCAAACATTCAAACAGAGAATTTAACACACAAAATTATTCATCAGGTATTGGACAAGTCAGAAGGCAGGGGAGACACAGAGGAATCGCAGAAGTGGTAAGAGCAGCAGCCACCCTTACGAGCAGGGACACAAAAGGCAGAGTTAGGGGTGGTTGATGTTGAAAGGGCTGGAGGAGGGGCCCAGGCTGTCTGGTGCTGCTGCCTCTGAAGGGAGACATCGGGGGCTGCTTCCGGGAGTGAGGAAAAGCTTCAGACTGATCCTAGCCGCTGCCCCTGCACCAGCCATGTTGACAAAGGCCGCCCTCCAGCCGCCCTCCAGCCGCCCTCCAGCGCCTCCTACAGGCAGAGCCGTCAAAGCAGAAATGTGGTTTTAGACTTCCAGCCCCAGCATCCCAAAATACAGAAAAGGCTGGAATCTGAGAGACAACAGCTTAACGACCAACATACCAGGAAGATTTAGACTCAAGTGTAGGAAGATTTAAAAGAAAACAAACTAGAGCACCAAGACTTTTATGTTAGGAAGGAATCTGTGCATATTTGGTATTTTACACACGTGATAATTAAGAGAAAAAGGCCCTGTTCAGTGACAGTTTTAGAATTCCTCTTTAAAATGTATAATTGAGTAATTAATTAAGACTTATGATTTTTTTACGGTGTCATCTAAACTTAAATAGAGTACAAAAACATTTAAAGTTTCCCTTAGTTATAAGTTTAATTTATGAGTTCCTGTAAGAATTTAGGGTTGGGGAAGATTTTTGTATGCCGTCAGAAAAAGTGAAGTACTTAAAAAAGAAATATGAAATTTATAAATGTATTTAAAAGCGTTTGAAGTGCTAAGCTAAGCTTGTAAATAGGAGCAAGCATTATTCAAAAGCTCCTCTAAAATTGATGCTAAAATCTGCTAGACTTATAAATAGAATAATGAAATTTGTAAGTTAAACTTAAAAGCCCAAGAAAGACTTTTAAATTTTTATCTTAAATTGAATATTGATTTTGAAGACATTATTGCCTGAATTATTTATTAAATGAATACTAATTATTAAGCTTACTAAAATATTATTTTTAAATCCAAATTTAAAGTTACTAATTTTTAAAGAAAAAATAAAACGCACTGAAATGTTTCCTGCACAGGAAATTAGCTGTTCAGGACAACAGAACCCTCTACCCCCACCCCTCTGCCATAAGGTTTTCTAGAAGTGGCCAGAGAAGAGCAAGAGAGGCAGCTTTGTTCCCCCACTCTCCAGAAGCCCTGAGACTATCCCACTGTGTCTCAGGCTGAAGGAATATGCCCCTGGCTTCGCTCTTCTGCCTCTTCATCCTCTACATAGCCAGGACACCTCGTGGAATACAGGAGGGATGGCCACTGGACCTGGGGTAGAAGAACCCAAGCCTCAGTTTCCCCATCTGCAAAATGGGGGAGATCCCTGCCGTGCACAGCTGTCATGAGGATCAGCACAGTGCTTGGTACACCGGGGCAGAGTGTGAAGCTCCCCTGTGCTGGGCCTTTCTCGGATTAGGGCCGGGGAGGGGGGGTCCTTGCCTGAGCATACTGGCCGGGAAGACTCCCGCTTACTTCTTGGCAGGAGAACTTCTTCAAAGAGATGGCCTTCTGCCAACAATAAGCACATGATCCAGGCCCTGAAGGAATCTCTCACCACAGACAGAAAGGGGACGGGCGAGGAAGGAAGCAGCTGGCTCGGGAGCAAAGCAGCAGCCCGGTGGACGCGGCCTGCGCTGGCTCCACGGGGACCGGCAGCCACTGGCTGGAGCAGGAAGGGGAGGGGCTCCAGGCAGGGGCCCAGTCCTGGCCCCCAGTGGCGTCCACAGGTCACCTGGCCACGTAGCCTCAGCTGGGACACGGTTCTAGAGAGCGGCATGGGGAAGGTCTCTGCCTCCAGAGAAAGGAAAAGGGGTGAAGGTCTTTTGTAGGAATACGTAGGAGGGAAGGAGTGGCCGTCAGAATTACCACCATCTCATTGTCCAACGCACTTGACTTAGAACTTTCTCTGTATTGCTAAGCCCTAGGCACGCAAACACAAGCCCGCACATCCTTGCCTTCCTGGGAAAGCACCTGCGCGTGTGTAGAGGCAGAAGTGTCTACCTGGAGAAGCAGCGGGCAGGGCCCCCAGGGAGAGGGGCAGCAGGGACAAGGTGGGGGTGCGTGCAGGCGGGGGACACCTCCAGGACACCTCACAGGGAGTCGGGGGGCAGCAAAGAAGGCTGGAAAGGCAGAGGAGGACCAGCTTGAAGTCATGTTCAAGTGTGGATTTTATTGGAAGCCAGGGGGAAGTTTTAGCTACATTTTAGAAAAATCTGCTGGGGACGTGCATGGGGAGAGAGGGAATCTGGAGACAAATACAGGGAGTCCCCAGTCATAGGGGTCCAGACGGGGAAGGATGAGGGCCTGACAAGGATATGCGATTAGAAATCAGAGAAAGGTTGGAGCAAGAGACTCCAGAATCGTGATCAGCGTGGGAGTCTGGGCCGAGGCCCCCTCCTCCCCATTGCAGGCTCATCTTTGCAGGGTCCGCAGCACACTCTTTGGTGGCTCTTCTCCTCCACAGCACACTGTGGACAGGCTGACAGTGGAGACAGTGGAGGCAGTGCCCAGGACATCTCGAGATGAAGGTTATGCTGTGTTGTCTCGGGGTGGGCAGGCAGCGGAATCCCAGGGCCACGGTCGCTGGCTTGGAAACCCAAGGAGGGGCCCATGAGCCCAGGAATGCAGGCAGCCTCCAGAAGCTGGCACGGGAGGGTCTAGACTCTCCCCCAGAGACTCCAGCCAGGGCTGCAGCCCTACCGACGCCTGGCTCTTAGCCCAGTGAGACCCCGGTCAGACTTCCAGTCCCCCGAGGTGATGAATGTGTATTGTTTTAAGGCCCTCAACACCATTACCATTTGTGGCCATTTGTGAGGGCAGTGACAGGAAACACAAGCAGATCATAAGGCTGGCCGGTTCAGAGAGAACGTCTGTAGCCACCTGACCCAGGATTGCCCTCTCATCACACCCCCAGCCCGAGTTTTGTCATTTGATTTCCTCCAGTGTCTTCTGTTATTTGAAATGCCTGTGTTGACCTGATTGCTCCCCTTCCCCCATTAGATCGTCTCCAGGAGGGCGGGCACCTCGCCTGGCTGAACATCACTGCCTCCCCAGCACCAAGGCAAGTGCCTGTGACACAGTGGCCACTCCACAAACACTTGGTGGGTTGATGAGCGAGTGCGACAGTGCGCTGGCGACGTGAGCTCTGCCAAGTGCGCACAACAGCTCTTTCCAACAGTACAGCCTCTGAAGGCTCAACACAAATGTACACGCCCCCCCCACCCCCACCCCCGCCATCCCCCAGGATGCTCAGCTCAGGTCACACCTCTTTGAATGCTCTCACTAATCAGCCTTCAATCTCAGGCCAACTCTGTTCCAGCCCTCCTAGGAAAACACGGGCAGAGTAAAATAGGGATTCCCTCCCCCTATGCCCAGAGGGGAGCATAGGACGAGGGAGTCCACGAGTAGACCCGGTTAAGTGTCCCCCTCCAGGGTAAGCGCTCGGGAAGAGCCCAAGCTGGTTTTAGAAGAGGACCTGCCTTCCCAGACTTTGTTCGGTGTTTTCCAAGCTCGGCTGCCCCTCCAGGAAATGACTTGCCAATCCAGCCGAGGATGGCGAACAAAACCCAGGGGACACTGGCTGAGGAAAGGCTGCTGCCTAGCCCTGGAGTGGAAGCAGGGAAAGCCAGCACAGGGAGTGTGAGGGCTGGACGCACGAAGGGCTGGGACGGTGGAGCCTACACATTCAGTCAGGCCACACAGCACAGGGACAGGGAGGACGTGTACAAAATGATGTTTATTGGCTTCTATTTTGGAAACAGACAAACATGAAAGGCTTTTGGTGGTGAGCTCACTCGGAGCTTGGAGTGGTGACAGCTTCCTGTCATTAGAACTCGGCCACCGGAAGATTCTAGCTTCATCTTCTAACGGGGCAACAAAGGGGTGGTAAACACTGCAGCCATCACTCCTGCCATAGGTCGGATGGCTAATGCCCAGACACATCAACAAAACTGTGTGTGTACAGTCGGAAATAGGTACTGTACGATACCAGGCAGGTAAATCAAAGGTGAAGTTGTAAACTAGCTAACAGTCATCAGCAGCTAAGTACACTGGGTCTGCAATGATACTCCTGTGTTTATCCTAAGAGCTGACATGTGTAACCGATGACTGCTGGCCTCATCAGGGGCAGTTAGTATGTGGACAAGGCATTTAAAAGCATATAGATCATTACTATTGTAAACTGAAAAAGCAAACCCAACATGATTAATTACTTTGCCTAGATCAATAAATACTAGTCCCAAGTGCTAAGTGTACCAGTAAGGACAGACACCATCAGTTAAATAAATCACGTTGTTACTTAGTGCTGTTCTATTCGCTAATGCACGTTAGTCAATTTGTGGACTTTATCCAACACATACACAGAGAATCTTCTTTGTTCAAAATTCTCCAAACGTCTCTTTTGGACATTTCTCTTCCACCCATTCTTATAAGAATAAAAATGAGACAACTTTTTAAACAAACTTTCCAGATTACAAGCCATCAAAAGCATGACTCTGGTCATGTTCCAGATCTTCACCCACAAGGGATGTACCGTCAAGGCTTCGACGTGCTTAGAAGGCCTCTTCCCCTGCTGGCAGCTTCCTCTCCCAGCCTCCTCCTGCCATATTGGAAGCCAAGCCGGCTCCTGGCTCTGAGATTTCATAACCAGTTTCCAAAGACCAACAGGATACCTACAAGGTGCCAGAAGGTTCAGGAAACCCTTCTCGTGTCTCTGGAGCTGTTATCAGTGAGGCCAACAAGAAGATACAAAGAGAACAAGGTTCGCAGGTGGATAAAAAGCCCAGACCTGGGGGAACCAGTGTTAAGGATTCAGCACAGTACCAAAGCCTGCTGACCCAAATAGCACTTTGAGAGCTCAGCTGTTAGAAACTCCAGGCACTTCTGGCATTTCTTTAACCACAGGGAATGAACATGTCTCCAAAAGGCCCTGCCCCCACCTAACCCCATCTCTCTCTGGATGAAGCACCGAGACATCCCACTTGCTATATCCGGGTATAGACACAAACACTCACAAACACAGGCCGTTCTGGATTCAGGACCAGAGGCTTCCAGCGCTCTGCAGCCGATGAGCTCTACCCACCACGGGTCCCCTTCCAGGCTGCGTTCCTAAGCCGGGGGTGGGGGTGGGGGGACTATTTTCTATTTTGAAGACCTACCCCATTGGAAATGAGCAGTGCAGGATCCTACGTGCAAATATTTGCAAACAATTTTTTTTTTTTGAAACGGTGCACATTTAAAAAATTCAAGTCAAATCCAGGAACAGACTAATGGGTTGGTTATCAGCTGGCCCCTCACCCGCAACAGGAAAATGATCAGTGTCTGAAATGAAAGCAGAATGAAGGCACCAGCTACTCCACCAGGGAGGTTAGTTCCTTGAGCTTGGTGGGGAGGCCTGAGAGGGAAAGGCTGAGGCTCTGTCAAAGACGGGACTCCCCCAGCCCTGCAGCCCTCCTGGGCCAAAAGGCAAAGGTGGCAGGTAGGATCTGGATATAGGTGAGACTGGCCCTCACCCATGTGCGAGGGGGGCAACTCCTTCCAGTAATTGTGAAGCGACAATAAGGAAGGCACACTCCTAGAGTTGAGCTTGTAAGGCTGTTGCCTCCTTCCACTCCCCACAGGACAGGGGGTGGCGGGGTTGGGGGGGAGATACCGCCCCACTACCTCTCCTCCCCTGTGAGCCCCACATCACAAGAACCTAACGGGGAACTCCAGAGGCCGACGCACCCTTGCTGGCTTTGTGTGTGGCTCAGCTGACCTCCTGCTATCGGAAGGCCAGGGGCCCTGGGAGCGTCGCACAGTCCACTGTCTGGGGGAAAGGCCCAGAGAGGGGGGTCTGGAGTCAGGCAAGCAGAAAGTGAACACTAGGCAATTGGGTCTATGTGGCTGCAAAGAGGTGGTCACAGTCACAAAAACGGAGGGTTCACAACCGGGATTTCCCCTCGGGCACTTGGACTGGGCCTGCACCCAGAAGACACGGGCAGCGTCGCCCACAAGAAGAGCCCCTTGGTGAGCCCCCGGGGACGGAGCGGCCCTTGCGCTGGTTGCCAGGCCGGAGCTGGGAAGTCCGAGAGGTGGGCATTCAGCCGAGGGAGGCACAGTTCAGCTCGGAGTCCTCCTGGCCGGCCCCCATCACCTCCTCCAGCTCGTCAGGGCTGTCGGTGATGTTGGGCTCACTGGAGCACTGCCGGTGGGGCGGGGAGAAGCTGGGCGGCAGAAGCAGGCACCTGTCCTCTCCGCCGGGCTCCTCGCCTAAGCCCGAGTGCATCCTGGTGGCCATGGCCAGCAGCTGGATGTCCGAGTGGGCGTTGGCCACCGTGTGCCGCCGGACGCTGCCGCACTTCTCCAGGTAGGCCTCCCCGTCTTGCTCCGTCAGAGGGCTCAGGGCCATCTCGTTCAGCGGCCGGCTGACGGGGCTCGTTGGCGAGGCGTAGTTCAGGACAGCGACCTTGGGCCGGACCCTGGAGTGGCGTCTGGCTGCAAGAGAGAAACCAGCAAGGGCCGTCAGTGGGGAGGGACAACAGGGTCAAACGCTCCTCCGGACCAGGTGGGGAAGAGGGAGGTGGAGGCTGCCCCTTCGGGAACAGCTTAGGCACGGTCCTACCGAGCGCAAGGGAGGGACCAGAAACGTCTCCCTGCTTCCCTAGCAGCTTCCCCCGTGTGCGCCATGCTGCCCGCCCGACAGCCCCAGCAGAGTAGGGGTCACCAAAGGGCTTTCCAGGACAGACTAGCTTCCAGGGGATCTCCCGTCCTTCCCAGCTGCTGCCTGGACTTCACTGCATTTGCCCTAAATCTCCTTTTAACCAGGCTCCTCCAAAGGCCTGGGCACGGGCTGGACCCGCTTCTACAAGAAACCCTCCAGCTCCGTGGAGCAGGACATGGCCTCCCCAGTGACAGCAGATGAAGCGGAAAAGGCCCCGTGAGCTCAAGTCCAGCTTACCCGAGGGGGTGTCCGCATTAAAGCTCGGGAGTGGGACGTCCTCCAAATCACCCGGCCCAGGCCTACAGCACTCCCTTCCCACCCCAAGACCTACGTGCTGTTCAAGTCATGTTCGATTCCAACAGCCTGTGGCACCCTCAGAGAGCGGGCTGGGCTCCCAGATGGGCCCGCGGAGGCAGACACGAAGAGGAGGGCTGGACGTGAATTGTCGCCAAACCGCTGCCACTTGAGCTCTCCCCACATTCTAGAAACTACGCCAGGCCTTGACCTGCACTCATCTTTTGACTCCTCCTAAAAACTGAGCTTATGTCGTGATCGGTTTATTGGCTCCCACTTTACAGATGAGAAAACGGAGTACCAGAGACGTGCACACAGCTAGGAAGCAGTACAGCTGGGCGTTAAGGCAGGGCCCCCTGCAGACCCTGCTCTTCCTGGACACCCACACAACACACACGTGACGACAGTAGGCAGAGTATCGCCAGGAAAAGAAGGACAAGCCAAGTGCACGGCTTCAGAGGCAGGGACAGGCATACCCATGCGTCAGGGAGGATGCGGCCTGGAGCCGGGCCTTCAGAGCAGCATCACTCCCAGAAGGGAGACGCGACGGCACTCTGAGCAACGGCAGCAGCCTGAGCAAGGTTCTGAGACAGGCGTACCATCGGGCCCCAGCCTGGCCAGGACACAGCATGCGTGAAACAGGGGAGGCGTGCTCAAGCAGGCAGGGGGGGCCCGCGGTCCTACGGGAGGGCCCCTGAGAGCCAGATGCAGCCAGCTGTGGCCAGACAAGCAGGGTGGACGGGGCAGATGGGGGCTGTGCTCCAGGAAGACGCACCTGCCAGGAGCCACCCGGGGTGGGGCCTGAGGGCCCAGAAGCGAGGGAAGCCAGGACCACGACAAATCTCCAACTGCTCCGTCTCGGGGAGGTCTCCTCCCCACGCTCCTGGAGAGGCAGCCCACCCCTTCTCTCACATGAGCTCCGCATCTATGTCATGAGCGGCGACGAAGGACCCCAGCGAGAGACAGGACTGAGAATGGAGGGCTGAGCACCAAGTGGGTTCTGTTCAACCCCTCTTTCTACCAGGATGTACTTCTCCCATCCCTCCAGCCACCCACCCCGTCTTCCTCTCACGGCTTTCCACCGCTCCCATGTCCTTGAGCCCCTGAAGGCCCCAAAAGAAACACTCACTCTCTCAGCAGGGGGACGCAGCAGGCAGCAATGGAGAAGTGCGACAGGGGTGGATTCCTGAACACCGGAAGGAGCACAGGGGAGGACTTAGTTCCTAAAGAGAAAGCAGACGTTGTTGCTCATAGACTGTCCTTGGGGACACGCGACCCATGCTGCTTTAGTTTACTCTCGGCTCTTCCCGTGGATCTGGAGGGGCCTGACACACGCTGGCATCACTTCCAGAGCTCATGCTCCTAAACGGGCATTACAGTGAGACCTGCCATGTCCGCCTGCAAAGCTCTCAGCAGCTGCCGTCTCTGGACAGTGCTGCCCGTCCATATATACACATTTATGCACGTGCAGTGACGGGAGAATGAAATCCCAAGCCTTAGGACCGAGTCACCAAGTCTGCTGGCTCTGAGCCCAACGGGAGATGATTGGCAGGTAATGATAATCATTTCTCAAAACCAAACAATATTATGTAGGATGTTACTGTGTTCCCATCCACTTTCTCACCACTGAGTCCCAATCTCCCTTTGAAACACCAGGGCTGCTCTCATTATTCCCATTGTTCAGATGAGGAAGACTGAGGCTCAGCCCAACTCTCATAGGCTCTACACTTTCCCCACTGCATGCTACCTTGTCTCAGGGCTCCAATGCTGCCCTTGGAAGACACCTTCCTCTCTGACACCAGGTAAGAGCAAACACTGTCCCCTGAGGTACCAAACAAGAGGCTGGAACTGGCTGGGAGAGGCTGGGTCAGCGGCCTTTCTCTCTGGGGAAGAATGAGTCAGAGAGACCAGGTGGCAAGGAGCAACCAAGGAGGAAGAATCCATGCCAGGCATTGACCGAGGTTTTCTGGGAAGCATGGGTGCTCATATCCTCCGCCAACACTTCTACAATGTTCCCACAGCTTTACAATAACCATGTATTACTTTTATGATCACAAATATCGATAACTATAAGAGAGAAGCACCAGAAGAGTTCAAAGAAGCAAGGATCCCATTAAAGAACCGTCCTTAAAAGAATGCCCTTGAAAACCGCCCATTGGTCCCCCACTATTGGAAACAAGCGCCTACGACTGGCAGTTGCAAAATCTGTGTTGTGGCCCAAACCTTCAACCAGCTGGGCAGGAGACTGGGCTAGGCTGCTTGGTGAGCATTTATTACGTGCAGATCCAGGAAGGGGAAAGAGCTAGAGCAAAGGCTGGGCTGGGCCCAGGACACAGGGTAAGGTGAGGGCATGGGGGCTGAAGGGTGGACACACACAGCATCTCGGGAGGAAATGAGGATTGTTTGATCCTTTCCAGGGGCCCTACCCCAGTAGAATGAGCCAGGAAAGGTGTTTCAGATGGGTGCCTGGACATTCTCCATCTTTCTCTCACGTTGTTAGCCAAGAAGCCCAAAGTCCTGGGGGGTTTAACAGGCAGAAGAGACAGGAAAGTCCACTTCAGCTGCTGCTGTGACCTGGAGCCACAGTGAGGGTGGCCAGCATGGAGGAGGGGGCCTCCGTGACGCTGCCTTCTCCTGCCCCAAACGCTCTGAGCTGCAACATGCAAAAACACTGTGGTCGCTGCTGAGAGGGCGAAATGTCGATCTGACATGGGGCCCGCCTCAGGGGCCTGAGCCCACTGCATGTGGTGTGTGTGTGTGTGTGTGTGTGTGTGTGTGTGTGTGTGTCTGCGTGCGCTTGTGTGTGTGGTAGGGGGTTGGGCCAATGAGTATCTGGTATGTGCCGGGTACTGTATCAGAAAAGGAGGTGCCTCACCGACATGGTCGTCTTCTGACCATTTAGTAGAAAAGGAATCGGAAGTGAAGATGTGAAATAACTTTCCAGCCAGTCAGCGGCTAATTCTGCCCAGGACTCAAAGCAGGGCTCCTGCGTGCCCACTGGGAAGACTACCCACGAGTAACGGTTAAAACCAGGTCAACAAGCATGGAATTGTTGAATCACTATACTGCACATTGAAACTAACATACAACTGCCTGCTAACTCTACTGGAGTTATAAAAAAAGGTCAACAAACGGCAGGGCAGAGGTCTAGGCAGGAGCTCTCTCGGGAGTCAGAGGAGGAGAAGCCTTGAAGAGGAGTCACCTCAGAGGGGCCCGTTCCGGAGTGATTGACAGACGGAACCAAGACCTTCACTCACTCACTCAGAGCAGGGACCTACGCAAGGGCCCGGGTACGAGGGGCCCACATGCTCCCTGTCCTCACCGAGCTAACAGTCTAAGGCTCAGACAGACAAGTAATCAGGCACGACGGCCGCAGCACAGCAAGGGGAGAGGCTCCTACGATTTCTCATCGGGAGGGATGCCAAGGGGGCCAGGCTGCCTGTGGCTGGGGCCCTCATCACAGCAGGTAGCAGCTCTGCCTGGGCCCTGCCCTGAGACGGGGTGGCGCCTTTCTTCTCTGTGCTCAGCCCCCTGCAGCTCAGAGACACCAAGCAACTGACTCCAGGCCATATAGCTGGAGCCCAAGCCCTGTGGTTCCCAAGGCCCTGCTGCCTCTGCGGCTGGCCCTGCCTCTCTCCTCATGGCTGTTCCCTGCTGGTGACTCACAGCAGAGGCCTGGGACTCTTCCTTCTGCCTTCTGGGTGGAATGTTTTGGTTCCCAAGACTGGGCGTGGGCAGAGCGGAGACCACAGGGGCCGCCGGGCTGTGCCGAGTCCCCTGGGCAGGCTGTTTCCTCGACAAGCTCCCTGCAGACTCTGGAGTCAACCTCAGACAAGCGCGTCGTCTGCATCCCCCGTGGGGTCAGGCCGCATGCTAGGCCTGGAGCTGAGACAGCTGCCCACGCGGTTCCCGCCTGTCCCCTTTCTGGCCTTCTTACCTGTACCAGGGAAAGCCAGGCCCTGCCACTCAGAGAAGGAAATCACCCTTTAAGAGGCCCATGAAGCTGCAGGCACCTCCTGGGGGCTGAAATGGGTCCTTTCCTTGCAATGGGGCCCCTTTAGCTGGGAGAGGAGGTGTGTCCTGGCACCTCAGCAGGCACCCACCTCCAGCCCTCCTTCTCCTCCCCCTGCCTTTCACACGGGGCGGGGTGAGGGGAGCCTTTATTCCTTCATCACTCCCCAGGTGCCCCACTGAGGTCTGGCATTCAGCCCCTTATACCAGAGCCAGCAATGGCAGCTCCTTTCAAACCCCCAGAGGCAAAGCCTGGATGAGGCAGTCCTCAGGCCCTTTGTGGGGGACTCACTTCCCAGGCCTTTGATCTCCCAGGCTCGAAGGACTGGCGGCCATAATGCGGGCATTGTGACCTCTGCACGCCAAGCCACTGTGAGCGGCCCTCTCCAGGCCCAGGCACCTAAAAGCCCATGAATGCCTACTTGTCACGAGGAGAAGTTAAAATCAATATCTCGAGGGAAAGGGCCCTCCCCTGGAGACACAATGGAGGAAGATCTGTGGGAGGTGAGGGCTTTTGTGTGGGAGAAACACAGCCAGCTGAGTGTTCAGTATTTGCTCGGAGGGCCCTGGAGGCAGCCAGGGCAGCAGCTTGGAGACTTGGGGAACTTGAAAGGTAGGATGTGGGCCTGGCCTCTGACAAAACTGTTTTTTTGTTTTTGGTTTTGGTTAAAGATTTCACTCCTCACCAACACATCCCCACGGCTCTGGAAAAGTGACTGCTTTGGAGGGGAGCCACACATGCGCGCGCGCGCGCACACACGCGCGCGCACACACACACACACACACACACACACACACACACACACACAGTTCTTCTAACACGAGCCTCAGGGTCCTCTCTCTCTCTGCCAAGCCTCGTATATCAGGGACTGAGGCTCACTCCTCACACCCATTGGCCTGGCTAACAGGAAGAGAGACGGCCCCAGAATCCTCATGGGGTCAGACATGGCTGGACAGGCACATGCAGAGGAGCGCCCCCTGGAGAAGCCACTTCTCCGGGTCTGGTCATCTACCCCATGCGGCCCTGGGGAGGTGTCTTCCCGACTGAGGCAACAACAGCACTCCCCCACCCCTCAGCGGGCTCTGCAAAGAGGAAAAGTGCCTGGTCAGTACCCGGAGCATGACAGGCATTTGATGAGTGGTGGCTTTGGGGATGAACGCTGGAGCGCTCCAGCTGCCCTTGACCGCTTGCACCCCCAGTTGCTTGTCCCCTGCCTCCCAGCCCCGAGTGGACCACAGCAAAACACTCCCGTGCCTTCACACCTCAGTTGGTGGTCTCTACACTCCTCTCCTTCAGGCAGGATAAACGTCATGGTCTCCATGTTTTACTGAGGGGGGAGACCGAGGCACAGGGAATCCTCACTTTATCTGGCAAAGGGGTGTCCTCAACAGGGAAGGGCTCCATTGTGGCCATTCCAACTTCCAGAGCCCTGCGGAGTTAGGGAATGAGGGGGAAGGATCACCTCCTCAGCTGTCCCTCAGTAAAATCACAATCACCTTCTAGAAACTGATGGGGGTAGGGGAAGGCTGGGGTGAGGGTGGAGCATGTAGGATAATCGGTAAAGTGCAAACAACCTCGGGCTTTCAAATCCCAGCTCCAGTAGCCAAGTGACCTTAATCCTCATTTGCCTCACCTCTAAAATGGGAACGATGGTGCCCACTGCCCACTCCGACATACGGTATCCAGCCCACCTGGCATCATGCCCAGGATGTAGTCTGTGGCCTGTGCCTTCCCCGGCCACCAGCCCCTTTGCAACTCTGAAGGTCTTTCAGTTCTTCAAATGCTCCAGCCTCCTGTCCACCAGTCTCCTTACCCCAAAGGCCTCCCACCTCTGCCTGGGATAGTTTAGTAAACAGGGAGGGTAGACTAACTCAAGTCCATCCTACAGGACTCATCACAGGTATCACTTCCTTCGGGGAGCCTCCCCTGATTCCCCCAGTCCAGGTCAAGTGCCCCTGCCGTGGGCCCTGTGGCCGATGTACCTTCCCCACCCAGAGAACTTGTTCGCTAATGAGTAGGTCACGATCTATTGTCTGAGACCGCCTCACTGGACCGTGTGCACCCCAGGGCAGAGATGGGTCCGTTATCATCATGGGTATACCTGAAGCACTTCATAAGGTACCAGCAGTAGGGTTTCAGTATACATTTGCTAAAATAATCATAATAAAACAATCCAAAAGAGTCCTTTTCTTCCCCTTCTGTCCCTCCTGAGACAATGCCACCGACAAGGATTGTCCTTGGTATAAAAAAACCCTCAGGCCTTTGCTTTATAGTTTGACAAAAGTATGTATTATTCTAACTGCGAAGCCACAGGTACCGCCTCTTAGAGGGAGTACTCTCAGAGCAAACTTCCAAATCTGTCCGTGTTCCTGGCTCTAGGCCCGGCCATTGGCAAAGTCCCTGTCATGGCCCAGCTCACCTGCTGGTGTCCTGACATCCACCCAGATCCTCCCGCCCCAGACTGGGTGAGCCTGCAAGCCAGTGGGCTGAGCTGAAGCAAGAAGGGGGGCTGCCGGGAGGGCATGGCAACATGGCTCCCCGGTCACGGCCCGAGAGGCAGGGCACCGTTTTCCTTCAGCTGCCACGGCTCCTCTGGCTTGTGCCGGCTCCTGGGTGGGATGAGTGAGCATGCGAGGGTGGAAGTGGGGGGAAGGACTGGGCGGGCAGGCTGGGGCCAGCACCCCAAGAGGTGTGGCAGCCGTGGCTAAGGTGGTATCCCCAGAGGAGCCATGAGGGGCCAGGAAAACTGGCAGCCAAGCCCTGCTTTCCCACAGCAGTGAGGCCCAGGAGGGGCCAGGAACCACGCTGGAGGCTGTCGCTCTGTCCTTTTCTTTGCTGCTCAGCTACGATTCCATTAAAGCAAGGAGAGGAGGCAAAAGATTCCAAATACACGAATTCCTTTCCACCTCTGCACGGGGGCCGGTCAGCCCTGCCCTGGGGTGCAGTTGCCTGTCATCCACCTAATAAATATTTTTTGAGTGCCTACTAGAGCCAACCACCATTAAAGTCACTGGGGATAGAAAAATCCCTGCGTTTGGGGGACTTTCATTTTCAAAGAGTCACTGAGGAATGTCTCTCATGATAAGCCTGTTGTATGGCTATTTCCCCATCTGGACTGTGGTTTCAGAGAGAGAAGGAACAGATACCATTCACCTCTAGATTCTCCAGGGTGCCAAATGCAGAGCCTGCACTAATGCTGGCTTTACAGCCACCAACACGAGCCCCTTTCCTTGGCATGTGGGGCCTGGCAGTACCTAGAGACAAGGAGGGGCTAACAGCCGCTCAATTTCAACTGCACACGAAACGAGTTGGCTTCACATTTCAAGCTGCTTTCAAGGGAAAATCCATCACGGGGTGGTTTTTCCACTCAAGTGTGTGTGGAGCGTGCAATACGGCACAGTGTCTGGTGATCAGATACACGGAAATCATCGCAGGCACACGGAAAAGATCGAAGCCACCGATCAAAGATGTGGATCAGACAAGCAGCACCACAGAGGCCCAGTCCCTGGGGACGAGTCGTCGAGCGGGGAGGGTTACCGCCACAGAGGCCAGCAGGAAACACGAGTGATTGCCAGGCACGGATTTGCACGGACCCACATCTGAAGCAAAGGGCTTGGTACAGAATCTGGGCTCAGGAAAACAGAGCCGGCAGCGTTATCACCAAGTCTCCCGGCAGCTGGAGGGCCTCGCCCCTTACCCAACATATACACGGGGCCCGAGACGCCGCGGTCCTCACTGATGCCGAGGAACGGAGACACCACTTGCTTCACCAGTTCCTCCAGCTGCAAATAACTCTCACTGGGGCCTGTGGGCTCGTGAACACTCTGGAAATAAACATCCAAGAGAGACAAGGGTCAGTCAAAAGTTGCCAGGACCAGCCGGCACTCAGCCACCAAGTCCGGATGGCCCGCCTACTACATTCAAAGCAGTGATACCAGCATTTCTGTGACTGGGATGAAGGAAACCGAGGCCTGACGCCTGAGTCACTTGCCATGGGCCACAGTCTCAGAACTGTGTAGGGCAGGTGGCACCGCCCCCACACCAGCTCCAGGGCTGGGGTCGGACTGGTCCCACCCCAGTAAGCCCACCCTGCCATCCTAGTCCCTCACACCCAGCACGCAGGCACTTTACACGGCCCAGAGCAGGGGCCTCTCAGCAACTCAAGGAGCCGGTGCTCTCCCTCATCGTCTACCTTCTACAGATGAGGAGGTGACACCAGAGAGCTCAAGCAACTTGCCCAGGAGCACTCAGCTGCTAAGTGGCAAAAACCCTGGGCCAGGAATGCCGGCTCTGGCTCTGAACCATCTTACTGCCACTTGTTAAGGAGGCTAGAAAAGGGGGACAGAATATGGAAAAATCCAGAAGAGTAGAAGAAAGGAGAGTCACTGTGGAGCTAGACAGATGTTGGGCACCATGATGAAGAAGAGTTAGTTCAAAAGCCCAACAGGACAGGAATCCTCAGGGCTAAGCCCGAACAAACCCCAACTAACACAAATGACGGTGGTCAAAACCAAAAAGGAGACAAAGAGTGATGAAGGCTCTATAGAAGACCAGCAGACTCCCAGGGAACCCAGTTTCTCGCTGGAAAGGGCTCGCAGCCTTGCTCTGTGTTGAGGGGCTGCAGGGGAGCAGAGACAAAAGGTCCCATTGGGGGCTCCCCTCGGCCCCACAGGATGTCCCACCAAATCCTCAAATCAGAGTCGATGTTACATCGCCTTCACCTAAAAAGTAAAAACTCCCCACTGTGCTGGGAAGTTTTCAGGGATTGGAGAAGAAGAAGGTGGAGGGGTGAAGCGGGAAGGACCCATCCCACAGGTTGCAGGGGGGGGGCTGGGTGAGGTGGGGGCTCCCCTGCACACAGGCTGACTTAGCCCCCTTGTCAGCTCCACCTCATGGAGACAAGGGTGGCTGGGGGCGGGGGGGTGACAGGGAGGGCGTGGCTTGAGGAAACACAAAGGAGGTTGCAGAAGGGGGCGACAGGGGGCTGGGGGGGGGCGGAAGACCTGGAGGCCTCTGACTGGCGGGGGTGGGGAGGGCAGTAATCTGGCAGTGGAAACAAAGGGGAAAGCACAGGGATGGCTTCCCTCAGGAAGGGAATCCTCAAGACCCCAGAAGGGAGAGCGGAGCCTTATTCGTGCTCCCCAGGCCTCAAGAGTGGAGCAGTTTTAGCCCCCAAACCACCTTGACTGGTGTTCAGAGCTGAGGAAACGTTTTTCTTTTTCATTTTTTTCCTCATTATTTCTCATCTGCCTTCTCCCCCATCCCCAAGTGTTTCCTCCACTACAATTTAAAATGCTGAACAGAGGGGCACCTGGGTGGCTCAGTCATTTAAGCATCTGACTTCGGCTCAGGTCATGATCTCACGGTTTGTGGGTTCGAGCCCCATGTCAGGCTCTGTGCTGCCAGCTCAGAGCCTGGAGCCTGTTTCTCAGATTCTGTGTCTCCCTCTCTCTCTGACCCTCCCCTGTTCACGCTGTCTCTCTCTCTCAGAAATAAATTTAAAAAAAAAATTAAAAAAATAAAAAATAAAAAAAATAAAATAAAATGCTTAACAGAGAGGGACAGCAGAGAAAGGAGAGGAGGCAAGAGGTGGGAAGAAAACGGGCAACAAGTGCATGCTTTGGAGCTGGGTGGTTTTCCCCCGGGGGGGGCGGCCAAACAGCCTAGCTTGCACGTAGCCCTCAGCCTGGCGCCGGGCTGGCTATGTGTCTGCAAGGCCCAGTGCAACATGAAAGTGTGGCGTCCATTGCTGAAAAATTATTAAGAATTTCAAGATGGTGACAGGAGAGAATTAAACCAAGCACGTGGTCCTGCTGGGCATGGGCCCCTGGGTGACTGCACAGGTGTCCCTCGGAAGGCACTATTCTGCGATGACCTCAGGACCTGTCTGCACCTGGCAGGAAGAACCAGATCTCCACAGTGGTCAAAATCTCCCGGTCAGCCTCTCCCTGGGGCAGCGTGGGGACAGAAGCATACAGCCCACAGCAGGGAAGCTGGAGCCCCTTGTATCTGGGGGACGCAGGGGTTTGTTCACTGACATTTTGGAAGAGCACTGGAAAGGGGAAAGGAGGCCTGAGAAATGGCTCTTTTCTCTGTACGAGAGTCAGGCAGGGAAACACCAGCCCCAGATCACGTGGTACTGGGGAAAGTGGGCGCCCGGGGAGAGAAGGGAGCAGTTCTAACTACCGGGGCCCAAATTTCCTGCAAGTGGAATGATCCCAGGGTCGTGCAACCTGCAGATGGCCTTCAGACCCAGCAGCCGCCACCCTGCTCAAGACGATAGACCCGGGCTGGCCAAAGACCCCAACTCATCCCTGTCACAGCCGTGGGCGTTATAGCTCCCAGGGCCAGGAAGAACGTGGGCCAGAGCTCGTCCCACGAGACCCTCAGGGAAATAACGCCAAATGCCCAGCATCAACGGGGACCATCTTAGAAGCTTGCGTGGCGTCTCCCAGGACCCCAGGGGGCTGCTGGGGCAGGCAGTGATAGCTGAGCACAGCTGGGTGGATGGGTAGACAGAGCCAAGCGCTGACGACCGGGTGACAGATCCACTCTTACAAATTAGGACGTGACCTTAAGCCGGCTAGCCAACCCTCTGAAACCCCGCCTCATCTGAGAACACAGGGACACAGACTGTTTCCTTGCCCAACTTCCCAGACCTCGGTCACGACCATGGGGTCTCTCCGACTGTACTTCCTTCTGCCAAGAGAGAAATCCCCACTACGTGACAGTCACCGTCAGGGGATTTGAGGCCAGAGACCTGGGGTCAGTCCTACTCAGGCTCTTCATGGCTGTGCCATCACTTACTGAGCACGTGTTTGGCTAACCCCTCCCCTGGGCGTGCTGGGTGCTGGGTGCTGAAGGAGCAAGATGGAGGAGAAAACAAACAGACCTGCCTTGACCGGAAGGGGGCTGTGGGCCCCGGGAGACCCTGCTGTGCAGGGAGACACAGAGGTGATGCCAGTGTGGCCGGAGGTCCCGGGTGGGGAGGTGGGAGGACCGAGGGGGGTGTACAGACTGGGCTGCTCTCCTGAGACCCCACCGGGAACCCCACGGACTGCAGCGAGGGCGGGGGGCTGGGGTCGGTGAAGGAGACAGTCCCCAGGCAAGCAGACTAACCCCTACGGGGCTTCAGGGGTCTGACGGTGGCTTTCTCATGTGGTTCCTGGGTTGTCCAATGTGGGAACAACATGGGGGTGTTTTTCATTAGCACAGAGACAGGCTTTCCTGGTCTACTGCCAGCAGGTGGGGGCCCCACCCCAATTCTCCCTCCAAAAGAACAAAAAGCAAACAGCAGCAACAACAGAAGAATCACCTGCCATCCCTAGAATATTATACCTGGAAATAAGGGGAGGGAAGCCCAGCTTCTCTTTCCCAGTCTTCCTATCCAAACCTCAAGGGACTCATTTTCTAGACTCCTTACGTGAGACGCAAGCTCTACTTTATGCATCTCAGAGAGGAGCTGCACACACACCCTGAGCCCCCCTCTTCCTCCCCTGCCATAAAAATGCCTGAGCCGGCTTCCCAGCCATTGAAGTGCCCCCCTCCCCCCATGCTATTAGGCAGCTCTTGCTCCTCTCTGACTTCAGGAAAAGGCAAGAATGCCCAGAAGGATGGCCCCGCTTAGCCGGGGAGAGGGAGACCAGGGCCCCAAGCTTGCTGTTCTACCCCTGTCAAGAGGGCAGAAAGGTCACCACCAGCCTGACAAAGGATGAAACTGGCTACACTCGGGAACGACTCGGACCTGACACTGCGGCAGCTGAACTTGTTACAGAGGTGGAGGCAGAGTGGCCATCTTCTGGGGCTGTCCCTGAGCCGCAGCTCTGTTCCCTTGGGAAGTATGCACCCCCATCCATCGGACTGGGCTCCCTGACGCCATGTTTATGGTCCTCAACCCAAGGTCATGGCTGACTGGCAGAGGGGAGTTGTGCAGCCAGAGCTAGACAAATCCAGTTCTTTCCCCTGAGTGTACCTAGCTCTGAATCTTACTATCTCTTGCTGAGAAAGCTTGGACAAGCACACACTTCCCGGGTTTCCATTTCTTCATCTGTAAGATGGAAAGAACAACACTGTCTACCTCATAAGGTGGCCGTTTGGATTATCTGATTCAGAAAACACCACACAAAGGCCTCGGCCTGTGCCTGACATATAGCGAGGAACCAGGAGTGGTGGCTCATCTTCCCACTGTTGACTCAGAACTGGGATTACGAGACAGCCCTCTGGGGCATCTCTTGCTGGAAACACGGGAGCCGTGTGGGGGAGGCCACGCCTGGTCAGGTGCAGACCAAAGTACTGACCGCAATTCTGCAGACGGAGGGCGAAGGAGAGAGACAGACACCAGACAGGGCCAGGGGAGGCGCCTCAGACAGAAACCAGCAAGACTGATAGGTGGTGAAAGGCAGGCAGCTTCGAGGCCTGGTGTGGTCTCACTTCTGGCTGCAGTCTCTTAGGATGCCCCCCTGCCCCCGGAACCTTCCAGTGAGCTCCTAGTCGGTCTTGGGCTAGGCTGCAGTGGGCTCTTGTGGTCGCGTGTGACTTGCGGATCGCTGACGTGCGGGGGAGGGGGGGAGGCTGCTGCTTCCCGAGTGACAGGACCCTGCCTCTCTGGCCCCCACCAGGATCCCAGCATGGAGCACAGCACATGGAGCACGGCACCAGAGGCCTCACAGGTGGTCAGTGAAGCTACAGTAAATGAACAAATGAGCTAAGGAAAAGGAACGGCTACACTGAAGAACACAAGCTCAGCTAAGGGTGTGCAGGCCGCTTGGTCCCTCCACCGTCCCACAGGGTGTCTTCCTCCCTGGGCCTGGTGGCCACCTCGCCACGGGAGCCTCACCCACCTGTAGGATGAGCAGCATCTGGACAATGGATGAGGGCGGCTGGGACCGGGCCAGCAGCAGCAAGTCACCCAGCTTCACCTTCAGCAGGACCAGGTCGCGGAAGCCCAGCAGGGAGATCTGGCGGATGGTCAGCTCCTGGCCCTGGAGAGGAGAGAAGGGGCAGGGCTGGGAGGTGAGAGTCGGCTGGATATGCCACCAACCACAAGGGGTCCAGGACGACCAGTGTGTACAGAGCACCAGGATGGGCCGGGATGAGGAGTCTGCAAACCTGGGTGGGGGGTGGGAGGTGCGGGCAGACAGCCAAAGAGTCGAAGATTTGACCCCTGTCCTTCCGAATGAAAGTTTCATTTAAGATAAGGTGTGACTCAGGGGCTCCTGGGTGGCTTAGTTGGTTAAGTGTACGAGTTCAGCTCAGGTCATGATCTCACGGTTCATGGGTTTGAGCCCCACGTCAGGCTCTGTGCTGACAGCTCGGAGCCTGGAGCCTGCTTCAGATTCTGTGTCTCCCTCTCTCTCTGCCCCTCCCCGACTTCTCTCTCTCTCTCTCTCAAAAATAAATAAAACTTAAAAAAAAAAAAAAGATAAGGTGTGACTCAATCTGCCTAAGTGACCCAGGACAGTACAAGATACATGACTATGCTGTCATGAGGGGCAAGAGGCGTCCAGGAAGGAAGAAGAAAGGAAGATAGGGGGAAGAGAGAGAAAAGATCAACACCACCCCTGCCCCCCACGTTCAAGGCTGCTTCCTCCAACTTTGTCTGCTCAATATGTAGGGACCTAGCACATGACAGGCAAAGGAGGAAAACACAGGGACTCATCTTGGCCATGTAGGGTGCGGGCAGAGGATGAAAATAGATGATAATCTTAAGAGCGGACACTTCCTAAGCTTCGTGTGCAAGTCACGACTCTAAATATTTTAGAAGGAAATAACACATTTAGTCCCCCACCATTTACGATAGGGACTATTATAAAACCTACTTCACAGATGAAAACCCTAAAACACAGGCTTACGGGACTATACCCAGGGTAGAGCTGGATCTCAAACATTACCCATGTGATTTTCGAGCTCCCAAAGTTTCCCAAAAGAGAAAGGAGGGCTTCTTTCCTAGACTCTCATTTGCATGTGTATACACAGCACACACCAAAAATGGGCTACTCTTGGTTGAAGTTGAAGATCATCAAGGTACCTGCCAAATAGGATGAAGCTCTCCATCCCACAAGTCTGCCAAGGTCAAGAAGTTTTAGATTTCCCATAACTCCTAAGGGTTTTGCAGAAACACAGGTAAGAGTGGTTTTACCATCCCTGTACCCTCCCCTATCCCACCCTAAGAGATGCACACAACCACCGCCAGTGCCTTACAGGCTTGGGTCAGCCAACCCTCCCCCCCTTGATTGCCTCCCCCACAGCCTTAAAGTGCTATAGTTTCTAATTTTTGCCCCACATGCCAGCACGCAGCACTGACTGCCTAGTTCCTCTCGAGGGTTCCTTTCCCTTTATAAGGTAGGAAAACGAAGGCAGGCTTCCACACCCTTGAACACAGTAGGTAGTCAAATCACACTTGTCCAACGAGGCAGTAGGTGTCAGACACCTATACAGCCAGGGGCCTCTAAGAAGGATCTGGCTGGACAAACAGACACCTTGGCGTGTTACTACCAGTAGCGAGAGCCCCCAGCTCGGGGCTTCCCATGGTGGGGTGTCTGGGTCAGCCGCGGCAGCAGCAGCACTTGGGAAACTGTGCAGGGAAGGGGACAGACGGGCAGTATCCACCGTCACCAGAGCTTATGATTCTTCAAGAGAAGGACAGTAACATCCTCAGACCCGCATAGCTGGGCTCCTGCCTGGATGTAGGCCAGCGAGGGCCCTTCTTGGCCATCTGACTGTTGTCCCGGGGTCATGCCCGCTCAGATATGACGCTCCCATCCTAAACCCTTCTGGGTACACCCACACGTTGAAATTCCATGCCCTCTGGGTCCCTAGAGAGAGACCAGGGTCTACACACCCCCGCCAGTCGGCTGCCAAATAAAACAGAGGATGTCCAGTTGAATGTGGGATGTTTTTTAGTAGAAATGTTTCAAATACTGCATTATTCATTGTTTTTCTGAAATTCAAATTTAACTCAGCATCCTGTCATTTTATTTGCTAAATCTGGGAACCCTACCTCCCCAGTCTGTCTTCTTAGGACCCAGTGCTGGCCTAGAAGTGATTATTACAGGGCATGGAGGCTGGACTGTCCACCTAAATGCTGCAAACTCCCTCATGGGGGTACAGGATGGAGCTGAGGATGGACTCAAAAGAGCAGTGAGCTGTGCAGGCCAGAGGCTTCCACTGACCTTGTTAGGGGCAGGCTGGAAATGGAAAGGAACTCTGGAGGCATAACCTCCCCAATGTTTAAATATTGATACATAGTTAAAACAATCCCAAGCTCTCACATAACACCATTCAGAGCAAACAAAGCACGTGGGCCTTAGGTCTGGTCCCAGGGTAATTCCTACCACTGCTAATGGTTCAGGCGCTGGGCCCCACACCCACACTTCTTTTTTTTTTTTTTTTAATTTTTTTAATGTTTTATTTATTTCTAGGAGAGAGAGAGAGAGACAGCGTGAGCAGGGGAGGGTCAGAGAGAGAGGGAGTCACAGACTCCGAAACAGGCTCCGGGCTCTGAGCTGGCAGTCAGCACAGAGCCCGACGCAGGGCTCGAACCCACGAACCGCAAGATCATGACCTAAGTGAAAGTCGGACGCTTAACCAACTAAGCCACCCAGGCACCCCCCACACCCACACTTCTGCAAAGCCGGGGGAGACGGGGGCCTTAAGCCCAGGGGTGGAGTGGGGGCAGTGTTCATGCAGGACAAAGAGGTGGGTCTTGGAGAGGAACATCGATTGGTCAGCCTGACTTCGAGGGCATCCGCTCCGGGCTGGCAATGCCTCCCTCGTCCTGCTGTTAGACTCTGCGGGAAGGTGGGAGGGAACCACCTCAAGTGTTAGGAGGCGCTCAGGTCACACAGTAACACCAAAGAGATGCTGCTCACTTCTCACACGCAATCCCACAGTTTGCAGATGCAACCGAGCTGTGCTCAGAGAAGTGAAATGAGTTTGCCCAGGGCCTAGCCACCGATTGCAAGTCCTGTGTTCTTCCTGCTACATCACTTCTTTGGGAATCCCTTAAGGAGGGTGAGGAACATTATTCCCTTCCTGCAATTTGGGACCGTAGGACCCCTGCCTTAAAATCGTGCTTCAAAGAAAGTTGAGGGGGGGTGGCAGAAAGAAAGGGACAGGAAAGAAAACAGTCTCCCTGCCCCATCTTCTCTACTTCTGAAAAGCTGGAAGAAACAAACCACTCCAAGAATATACAAGGCATATTCAAAACCAAGAGGCTGACGAGAGCCTACAAATTGCTAGTTATGCAGGCGCGCTCTCTTTGCTTGAGGTCGGATGCTAAACATAGACCAGAGAGCCCTTCAAAGAGCCCTGAGGTCCTTGGCCGACTCTGGGCGCCCAATGTCCTGCCTCTCTCCCCCGTTTGCCAGGAGGCCCGAGTTGGCAAAGGCCAAGGAATGAGACAGAGTGCTGAGGCCGGCAGGAGAGCTCCTCCGAGACTGACCTGAACTGGATAAAATATTGCCTGCAGGGTGGGGAGAGTCTCAGTGAAGAAGTGGTCCCACACTTCAGCCAGAACCTCAATGCGATTTTCACCTACACGAGGGCGAGAAGATGGGAGGGGAGAAAGAAAGAAAAGAATTGGTCATTACTTGCAGGAGAGGCTAGGGACGGCTCCGTGTCAAAGGGAGCATGGGGGCAGGTAGTGAAGCTCCCGACGTACATTTCATCCAGGAGACATGGCTACACATAAATGTGGGAATGGGTGGAAAGACTGAACCGAAAATATGCAAACATGGCTTCTATCCCCCAATCCAGAAAAGGGAATTGAAGTCTGGAAATCACATAACAATTGCTGCTGTCGTGAGAACGGTCACAACATTCTCAGGCACTGTACTAAACTCGTGGTCTACATTTCACAAACAAACTCTATCCCCTCATTTTACAGGATCGGAGAGAGAGGCCAAGTGTCTAGCCTAACATCACACAGCTAGAAGGCAGAGCTGGGAATCCTGAATTCATGCCCTTGACCAACATCATCTGGGAGGATCAGGTCCACAGTTCTGCATTGTTATGATTTTCTAATCACTGTGACACTGGATTTTCATTCTGGGTTTGAGCTGTCAGGACAGGGAAGTGGAGAGAAGGGTCTGGAAACTGTCACTTCCACCCACCGATTCCACCCACGGAACTCGGGCCCTGCCTCTTGATGCTATACTTACTCTCACCCCTGTGATCCTGAGCCATTGGTCAGGCCCCGCCCCCCAGGTGACATGAGTGACCGACCCACTGGGTGACCCACTGCCAACGGAAGGCCGTGCCAGGAACTTGGCACTGGCAGAGAGGAGCTGGCACGGTGGCTGCTTTCTAATGACCTAGATAACAGAGCTGACTGGGCACTGTCTTTGCTCATCTGAGGCAGAGAAACTGGGTCGGCCAAGATTAGACACTGAAAGATGCGTTTGGCAAAACGCTGCCAGTTCCACTGAAACGGATCTTGAAAGATTCATTTAGCATCTTCTGCCTATTAATTTAATGGACCATAAAAGCAGTGGCTGGGAGAGAGAACAGAACAAGGGCAGAATGAGCAGCTAGCAGGGCCAAAGATGTGCGCATTCTGAAAGGTCAGAGAGAAACATGCTGGGGGGGATGCAAATCCACAGCACCCTGTAATTTCCCTAACCGGGTGCTAATTACACGTTGTTGGGATCACAGACGGACTTCTCTGTCTCTTCCGCCGGCACGGGGTGAGCATGGGCCCCTGTCTGTCCTGCTCACCATTATTATTTCTAGTGCCTGGCATATTGCCAGACAGATCAATAAATCAATTTTTAGAAATCTCTGAGTAAATGAATGGCAAGAATCAAGTGTACAGGCTCATGCAGATGCTATGGCTGGTGAGTGAAGGTGGGGGGGGGGGCGGTTAACATTTAACCCCAATGCAGGACAGGACAGAACAGGACTTAATAATTAGCTCCAACCTTCTCCTTTGCTCTCAGATCAATAAAACCTCCACAATACGGGCAATTTGGAGGGTCAGGGTGTTTCCTTCTTCCATGTCCTCACTCTCCTTCTCTAGTCCCCTAAGTATGGATTTTATTTCAGCCCATCACGCTCACCATGCTCCTGCACACCACAGGGCATTTGCATGTGCCAGTCCCTTTGCCTAGACTATTCTTTACCCCTCTTTCTGCCTCACCTACATCTGCCTCTTCTCCTAGTTACAGCTCCAGCATCGCTTCTACAGCAAAGTCTTGCCCATGGGACAAATCTCCTTCTTACAGACTATTTTTTTAAAAAAATATTTATTTAGTTTTGAGAGAGAGAGAGACAGAGTGCGAGCAGGGGGAGGGCAGAGAGAAAGGGAGACACAGAATCCAAAGCAGCCTCCAGGATCACAGCCATCAGCTCAGAGCCCAACATGGGGCTTGAACCCATGAACCACAAGATTATGACCTGAGCCGAAGCTGGACGCCCAACTAAGGGAGCCACCCAGGAGCCCCAGACTGTACTCTCAGTACCTGCCGTGGTTACAGTGTTATATTTCATAATGATTTGATTCATCTCTCTCTCCATCACTGGGTTGTGAGCCAATCCACGAAGGTCTGAAATCCCTAGGATGGTTTTGTTCACCACTGTGTCCCCAGCACCCAGCAAAGTGCCTGGCAGATAGCTGATAATCAACCAGTGTCTGAATGAACAAATCTTTTCAGACGTAGGCTAGGCTAGTTTACGGCAGGGGGGAGCCGGGGAGCTCCAAAGGAATATCTGACACGTCAAGCCATCCTGGGACCCGAAACCAAGGCGAACCCAACACCTGGGGAACGTACTTCACAGGAGAAAAGGCTCTTCCAGCTGCTTTACTGATGGCCTGTGTGCTAAGCCTTCCAGTACAAAGACCGGCAGAGGCCTCCTGACGCGCAGGACGGGAGGAGGATCCCGCAGGTCTGTGCGGGCGCCCGCTCACTCCCCTTCACCGCCAGGATGGGAGGCTCGTCGGCACATGAGGTAATCCTTCAACGCAGCAGCAGGAAGGCACCTCTCCTGGGAACCCGGGTCTAATTGCTGGCTTCAAACTTCACAGAGTAATGGAGGTTTTGTAAAGTGTTCAGAGAAGAACATCAGACTGACACAGGCTCACAAAATGGGGTAGCCCTGGGGAAGAAAGAGTCACAGGGTGGTGGCTTCACCTCCAAAAACAGCCCGTAAGGACTTAGCTCCCTGCAAAGGTGAAGGGACTTGGATGGAAGGTTCTAGACAACCACCCTATAAAAACTGTCCTCTGTGCCACAGGAGTTTAAATCACCAGAAGAGTATGGAAGGGGAATGGGGAACTCCTTACGGTCAAGGCCACTAAAGCTCTGGAAAAGGTCCCTGGAAGTAGCATGGCAGATCCCGCCCACAAAAGATGAACACGTGGACAAGAGCTGCCTCTGTCCTTGCTGCAGCCATAAGGGACACACATACAATGTGTCAATAAAACAATTAGGTCCACAGAGTAGTTTGTTCAGCAATAGGATGAATCCTATAGCAAGAGAATCCTTTCCGTGAGATTAAATCTTCCGTGGGGTTGTAATTCATGAAACAAAAAGGTGCAGAAGTTCTGGCTGAAGACAGGAAAGACCCTTCAAGGTTCTCCACGTGCCCTTTCCCCGTGCCAAGGTGACACGCAGACCCCCGGGCCAGCACAGACCCGGGGAGAACCCTCAGACCGGTGCCCCGTGGCCTGCTTTAGGGCAGAGGCACAGAGCCTTGGGCGACCTTCACTGACCCCGTTCAGCGCCATTCCTGAGCTTTCGCTCCAAATGTATCCGTGTCGCGGGCCACTGCAGTGGGAGGTATTCAACCTTTCCCTGAAAATACTTACATCCCGGGTTTTGCTCGGTGTCTTTTTCACGAAGCTGGTTTCCCCCATTTGCAGGAGCGCATAGTAGCCCCAGACACCACGCTTCCCTCCCCTCCCCAAGCAAAAAGGCACAAGATAGTCGTCAAAGCCACTCTCTCCAGACTAAGGCCCTGGGCCGCTGGGTGTTCCTAAGGCTGAAAAACCCTGAATGCGGCTATATGGAAGGAAAACAGGGCTATAGGTTCAGTCAGTTGTCACATATGCGGAGGTTAACTTCTAATCTCTATTCTTCCAAAGGCCTGCTGAGCGCTGCATGTGTGCCAGGCACTGGAACCTTCCAGGGTCAGTTTCGCATTTGTCTCCTACTTTGTCTTTCCAGGAGACGCCTCACAGGACAAGAGTCTCCTTCTTGGGGAATGGGGGAGGGATGCTCTATGGCCTGAAATGTCTGGGTCTAGCAGTAAATCTGACCTACAGAGAGGTCTTTAGGCTAAAGTGCAAAAAAAAAAAAAAAAAAAGAAGAAGAAGAAGAAGGAACCAGTTTGTGGACCTACTGTGTGCTGAGAATGGTGGTGCTATGCCAGTTACATTCCTTATACTTCCTATAACCCCTAGCTCATTTGGTCATTTTAAAAATGATAAAAACCGGGGCACCTGAGTGGCTCAGTCGGTTAAGCATCTGACTCTTGATTTCGGCTCATGATCTCACGGTTCATAAGTTCCAGCCCTGCCTTGGGCTCTGCACTAAGCATAGTGTCTGCCTGGGATTCTCTTTCTCTCTCTATTTTTCTCTCTCTCCCTCTACCCCTTCCCCCCATCTTTATCTCTCTCTCTCAAAATAAACTTAAAAGATTTTTAAATAAATAATTAGTAAAAACCAAGGCTCAAAGAAACCAGAAACTTGCCCAAAGTCACCCAGGTAGTAGGTGGTAAGCTACGATCAGAATCCACCTTGGAGGTAGCTGAGAGGTAGCCCTTGACAGAGTCGTGTGGTTGGCCAATTCCTGCCTTGGTCCCCTTTCCCATTTCCTTTCGGTGCCTTTCTATTCTGCCCATTGGGCTCTAAAATCCTTTAAGGCCAGGAAATCTTCCATTGCTTATCAAATCATCCACATTCAGCAGGGGCCTGCTTGGCCTAATGCCCCCCCGCCCCCAAGCAGGTAGGTCTCCCATCATCCAGGACCCCAACAAAGATGAAAAAGACCACTTAGAAGTAGCCTGGTTCAGGCCAGAGAGAACAGCACGGCAGGATCCACAGTGGAATCCATCCCTTCGCAGGAGACCTCCAGCACACATCCTGTGAAACACCCTCACTGAGGGCTCTCGGAAAGGACCACCCCCATCCCACCTCATTTCTCAAAATACAGATCTGACTGGCACAGCCACAAGTGGCTGGCTCCAAGCAAGGGAGGCCGCTCGCTGGAGGAGCGGCAGACGGGGTGAGTCACTCACTTGGAGCCAGCCGCTCTTGGACAGAAGCACTTCAGCTGTCCAAACAGCAGAGGCTGAGTCACAGGGCCCACTATGCGAGAGCTGCCTTGTACTTGCCTTCGCACAGCTTAATCTTCTCCTCCACAAACAACAGGCCTTTGGCAAGAAGCTGGTTCTGTCAGGAGAGAACAAAGAACACAAGGGTTGGGCTACTTCGCGCAGTGACAAAGCCTCTTCCGCGTCCGACGGGCGAGGGCACGGGGTTCTAGGCAGTTGTATGCCAGTCAGGCTTCCAAGTACGAGAAGCCTGTTGACCTCTTGGAAGACCAGGCTTCGGGGGGCGCTTGGGTGGCTTAGTCGGTTAAGCGTCCGACTTCGGCTCAGATCATGATCTCGCGGTTTGTGGGTTCGAGCCCCGCATCGGGCTCTGTGCTGACAGCTCAGAGCCTGGAACCTGTTTCAGATTCTGTGTCTCCCTCTCTCTCTGACCCTCCCCTGCTCACACGCGCTCTCTCTCTCTCTCAGAAATAGATAATTAAAAAAATTAAAAAAAAAAAAAAAGGAAGACCAAGCTTCGGGAGAAGTCAGCAAGGCATCCCAGAGCAAACGAGGGGTCCGGGAGCCAAACCCAACTGCCACTGCCAAACCCAACTGCCATTCCATCCCTCCAAGCGGGGGAGAGGCATGCCACAGGCTTGGCCGGGTCCTACGGCAGGCCTCTGGTGGACACCCAATGGCCTCCAAGCCCTTCATCTAAATTCAGAAAAGGGAGCATTGAGGGAATGGGAAATTGTGCAGAGATAATATATACTTTTTAAAGATGAATTTAGGGTTTCTCAGGGAAGCATGAAAGAGACTGTGTGCAAAACCTGAAGCAGCCATATGTGTCCACCAGTGAGTGTGAGCATAGAAAGGTGTGGAAAGAGAGTAAGGCTAAGTCCTTTTACAACTGCACCTAACACCTGTTGAGTGTGCTGCATGTGTCAGAGGGTTTCTATCCTTCATTTCACCTCACTGCAACCTTCCCAACACTCCTATCCAGTTGGTGCCATCACCCTCGCTTGACTGACGGTCAGTGACCGCGTACAGGAGACAGTCCTTCCCCTTCCAGCAGGTCTCCCCACCCAGACCCCTTCCTTCCCTCGAAGGGCTGGCGCTGGTCCCCTAGGAAGTGAAGAGGCCTCTCCGCAGGTCACGGAAGCTCCAAGAGCCTTTCCACTCACCTCACATTATCGGATTATCAAAGGCCTATGCTTACGGGGTAGGGAGCCCATGGTGATATGTATCTTGCAGAAAACCGAATGCATTTCTTAGTATTCTCCTTTACAAAACCCTAAAACCCTGTTGCAGTGATAACAAGAGCATGCATAGCAGAGAGGAAAGAATTTGGTATCAGATGGGGGCTCAAGTCCCAGCTCAGCCACCTTCGAGCTGTATGATCTCCAACTTTCTCTAATTGTTAAGTTCCTCAGCTGTAAAACAGCACCATACCAGCAACATCATAGAGTTCTTATAAGACTCAGTCATTACACACACACACACACGCACACACACACACACACACATACACACACACACACACAGTATTTCATGTGCTCAGTACTCAGTGGCAATGGGCAATGATGATAATAGTTGCTTTCTTAGCCCATCTATCTTCACAAAGGAGTGGGAGGAAGACAGAGTCAGTAATGAATGAGCCTACATCAAATATATTAAAATATTTTGTCAAAGGAACTGTCACATTTCTGTGACTCATACATATAAGCCAAATTTCAGAAGCCCTATTAAAATTCACAAGATATGATCTAACTTCAAAAAGTAGCTGGCCAGTGGTGTCAAGACGGAACCCCAATTCAAAGTTAGAATGACATCTTCTAGGGAAACACCAACTCTGTTAAAGGAGACAAAAATCAATTCCTTTACAAAGAACTATGGAACAGAGAGGTGGTTATGGCGAAACCCCGCCTGCGGCCTCCACCTTCCAGCCAAGCAAATGAGTCCCAGCAGCTTCCGGGTCAGAAAGCAGCAAAACACCATAGCACCAAATTTAGACTGTCAGAAGCAAGGCTCTGTGACAGCTGGGCTGGACCGGAATGGACTGTGGAGGTGCTGCCAGAGGCAATCGCTCCATCTGCCTGTTTCTGAGCAGCTGGGCCTCAGGTCTCTGTGTGGGTCCCTTTCACCTGTCCAGGCAAGGTTCTCAGAACTTCCCCTGGGCTCTCTGTGCAAGGGCTCCTGATGCCAGCACTCTGTCACCTCCTCTAATGCCAACACGGATGTCCCAGGCTTCTTCCAAAACAACTTTACAGCCCTCCGAAAGGTAATGCTTCTGTAGTGCACCTGTGAATGTGATCGAGCCTCCCTCTAAATGCATTTTCGTGACTTTGCCCCATCATGTCTATATTTTAAACGGCAGGGGTGAGGGTGGGGGAGGGGAGAACAGGAAGTACTGAGAGCAGAGACAGAAAAGCCTAGTCCAGGCTATATCATGAGTTAATCAAAGGAACAAATTCAAACCCTGTATCATATGCATCAGGTCGTCAGAGGTGAAGGCCATTTCTTATTTCAGTGCCCATGGCTCTGAGAACAGTGCCCCAAACACAGCAGATGTTAATAAACATTGGCTGAGTGTATATATTGCCTGTTTCGGTGCTGAAGACCATTTTGAACTTTTAAGAAATCAAGATACGAGACAGAATATGTAGAAGAGGAGAGAAAGTGATACAGGGTCCCTAAACCTGATGACGTTTTCTTTAGCTGATAAAAATCACTTGGATCTGTACCTTAAGGGTAAACTTTAAAAGATGGACCAGTTTCTTCTTCCCTCTCTCTCCTACTTCTTCCTCCTTCAAGGAGATATTTGGGGTGAAGAAGCCATTTTTTTTCAATGAAAAGGAATTAGTTGTGTATGATAGAGAAAAGGAAAAGAAAATACTCTTTTTAAAATTCTCATGAAAGGGGCCTGGGTGGCTCAGTCGGTTAAGCGTCTGACTTTGACTCAGGTCATGATCTCACGGTTCGTGGGTTCGAGCCCCGCATTGGGCTCTGTGCTGACAGTCAGCTCAGAGCCTGGAACCTGTTTCAGATTCTGTCTCTCTCCCTCTCTCTGATCCTTCCCTGCTCACGCTGTCTCTCTCTCTCTCTCTCAGAAATAAATAAAACATTAAAATACAATACAATACAATACAATAAAATTCTCATGATACACAACATGGCAATTCTGTAACTTAGACCAAAATAAGAGCCACAAAAACTTGGGCTCAGGAGGGGATTTAAGGAGAGTCTAGCAATTCTGCCACCTCCCAGCCCTGTGGTCAAAGTCCACTGGTCACCATAGGTTGGATGAGATCTCAGTGGACTCCTCTTCCAGGAAACTAAAGCACCTTTCAAAGGCATCTTGCAGATTCTTCTATCCCTGGGCATTTGTAGATTTTGCTCTTACTCCACCATTGAATAACTGGTCTCCAGCTTTTATTTGTCATGTGCATGCAGAGGAAGGATCTTTGGGGCCAGCCCAGCCCCCAGCCCCCCGCTCTCTAGAGAATCTCCCATTCAATGGACCTGTGCCTCGCTGTGCAAGCTCAAACCCCTTGATCACAGCCTGCATCTCTGGCTTAGCTGACTGGCCTGCTTCCTACCCCGTTGCTGACCCAGGTCTCAACCTGAGCCAATAATCTTCTCTCCTAGGAATCTGCAGTCACACGGGCCCCTGCCCACCAAAACGTCCTATGTTCCTCCGGGCCTCATGGTCTGAAGGGCTTCCTGCTTAGGGGTGAATGCTCTGCAGGTGCCATTTCAATTCTTAATATTTTCATCTTTGACCTTGCATTTTATAAGTGAAATCGGATAGGGCTCCCTTGTGGCCCTGCCTCCTACCACCTCCCCAGGAGGGTTTTGTCAACACCTGCTCCCCACCCCCGCTCCCCACCCCGCTGGCCTCACAGGGTCTCCCTCACCCTGCCCCCCTGCGCTGTCCTCCTATTCCCCGAGATGCTGGGGGGCCCAGGCCCAAATGCAGGGAGGGTAGGGTTGGGGGCATGCCCCACAGCGCCTGGGGAGGGGCCCGGGGGCCGCCCTCCCCGCCCTGGGTGGCCGAGCTGCGGCTCGAGTGCTGGTAACTCAAGGAGGACCTCTTGGCCGTCCCGGATGTGTGTACTGAGGGTGTGAAGGTGGCCATCTCTCGGGGGGTCTCCTGTCCACCACGGGCTGCAGCCGCGGGCCCGCGGGAAGGGGAAACTGACCTCCTCAACCATGGCCATGGCCAAACTTTCATTTTGCAACCGGGCCCTGGAAATTAGGAAGCCCACCCTGTGTGCTGCTCACTTCACCTCAGGATACGCCAACCGGACATCTGCGGGGCTTACGGCTGCCGAGAAAGCCCCCTCCCACGCCCCAAAAAAGGCACAAAGGAAAAAGAAAAGAAGCAGCCTTGACTCGGGCATCCATCTTGCACAGTCTGCCCGCCTAAGCATCTCTTCTCCCTGGAACTCCCCTCACCGCATTCCCAGCCCTTGACAAAGGCAAGACTCGGGAAGGCGCTGAGGACATGCTTGCTGCAGGCCATGGTGACGGGGCTGGGGGGGTGCCAGGGCTGGGAAGAACCCGGCTGTTCTCTGGTCCCGCTCCCTGCCCGATGGCAGCAACCGCATCACCCCCCCCCCCCCCAGCCTGATGGCTTCAAGCCAAACACCGCTTGCATTAAATAGCGGCCACCTAGGAAATGATTTGGGACCAGGAACGAGGCTCGCTGTTACTTAGTGTCCCGCCCCGTAAATGAACTTAGATGTGGAATGCACGGCACTCTAATCAAGCGGCAGAGTAGCCTGGACGTGAAAAACAGCCGACACGTCTATATTTTTTCTAAGACGTCAAAACATAGTCCGCCAACAGAAAAACGAGGCTCAGCTAGGAAAAATGCAAAACAGCAAGGCTGTCTGGGGAAAGGCGTCCAAAACCACCCAACCTTGAGTGGGCAGGACAGGTTCAGCTCATCCTAGGTGACCGCGGAGGACACGCAGGAGGAGGCGGGGAGGGCAGAGGAGAAGGTGGGCTTGTCAACAGTGTGTGCCTCCTGTCAAGCAGGTACCTCCCCAAACCCAGCACAGGGACTCAGGAAAACAGGGAACCCACAGGCTTAGGGGTGGTGGTGGGGAGCAGGACACTAAGCCCATCTTC